GAACAGTGAAACAGCAATTATATCCATGAGACTGTTAGAAAATACAGTCATTAAAAATGACATATGCCATTAGGAAGAAGGGACTGTATGGGCAGAAAGCAGTACTTAGTTAAATTATGTAAACATCTGCCCTGTCACCAGGAAGTTGTCCTCTGGGTATATAACTCAAAAGTGTTGCACTGATGCAGAAGTACAAGGTATTTATCACAGTACCATGTGGGGTGGGCGGAATGTTGAAGACAACCTAATGTCCATCTTGGGGAGAATGGAAGGCTAAGATGTGGTGGGTGAACATCATGCAGAGTTTCACAACAGTTGGAAGTGAAAGAGTATAAATGTGCAAAATAACACAGATGGGTCTAGGAAGTGGTGCTGAGTGAACTATCTGAGAACAGGGAATAAGTTATGTAACCCAACACCATTGTCATTCATTTAAAATATATTCAAGATGATTTTACAATGACAGTTTTCTGAAGCATACAACGGCTATCCCCTTAACACATTAAAATGGTGCATGTGGAGGGTGGGAGAGGAGATGAGGCAAAAGGAAATAAGTAGTTTGGAGACTGAGGTCAATGATATGTGATAAACCGGGTGGTATGATTGCCTCTGGTCTGACACCCAGCCATCTATTCATTTTGGACATGGATGGGAATGTTTTGGTCAAACAGAATTATTAGTCGTGTCTTGCTGCTTCTCCAGAGTCAGTTCTCGAAGAGAGAACTGTTCTCCCTCCTTACTGGAACAAGAACTCAAGCTGCTTCTAAGTAGTGGAGCAGAGAGAAGCCCTCTCAGCTCCCCTTTGGGTGATGGGGACACATATGAGTTGATAGAAATGAGTAGTGACCACCAGGATTTCCTTTCTAATGAAAGTATCTGATAACGGAGTTTTCACAATCCACCATCTATTGTTCAAGATCTAGACCTACCTTGCTGATCTTCATTAATTTTCACCACCTCAAAAACTGAAGCTTGTGTCAGAGGAACCCCAGAGTTAGACTGAAGAGACCCCCGAGCAGCTCAGCCTGGATGTGCTCTAGCAGGGACGAGCGCAAAGGTAATAAAGAAAAACTTCCCATTTACCCATCTCTGGGTAACTGCAAATGTCAGTCTTCACTTAACCTCAAGGTCAAGACAACCTATTTTATAGTGTTCACTGTCTCTGAGGATGAGCTTTAGCGTGAGCCTTGTTTGCTTTTTACAGTATTAAAATAGACAATGAAAACTGCCTCTCAGAAGATCATTTCACCAAATCTCTGTCGCTCTGCAGGGAATATTTGTTTCCTCATTTATATTCATGTCTCTAAAAGACAAGTAGACCTTGGATGAAATTTCAGGCGACACTAAATTATAAATAATGTATCCATATTTTTTTCTCTTCCATACTACTTGTATTTAATTCCCCCCAGAGTCTTGTGCAAACACCAGAGACAAGAGGACAGGAACCTATTAACATGATGGAAAGAATGAAATGGGCTGATGTTATGTGGCAGTAACACAGCAAGGGAAGACATCTTGATCAAAGGAGGGTTTTGAGGTTTTGAGGCCAGATCTTTTCTTTCCTCCTTTTTTTAGAAATTTTAGTATTAATTTTCTTGACATCTCAACACTGTTCCAGACCATTAGGCAGGCATCTGAGGGGTTGTCAGTGGTTGCAGGTCACTTCAGGCCCTAACTTTAAGGTCTGTTGTTCCATCAGAGAAGGCACAGAAAACATTCAGAATGATCAGCTGGGAGCAACCCTTCCTAAGAATAGGACCCTGCTAAGTGGAAAACTCAGGTACTGACAAGGAAAACAGAAAGAATGCTAGCTGCTAAAAGTAAATAAGCCTCTACATCTGTAGAGGTTGGTTTGCCGTGGCAGAGCTTCCAGTGTGCCCCAGACAAGCACAGCAGGAGTAATTCGTGCCCTGGGGAGGAGTGGGGCTCCAGACTGCCAGTACTCCAATCTGGCAGGTAAATGTAGATATTCTGCTCTTCACTGCTGCTTCCTTTCCTTTCATAACATTCTCACCCCCATCTTCAGGAAACTGATACCCTGTATTCTCTCCCTTCTTAATAAAATTTGCTCTTGGCACAAGTAGAAAAGGTGGGGGGAAGGGACTGGCTATTGGCAATGAACACTCATTAATATTAACATGCAAATGACTATGTAGCCTAGTGTAATTTATTCGGGAAAATTTGCATCAGACTAGCAGACAGAGCCTGAAATTAGAGGGACTTTGGCATCATCCTCTGTAGGCTGTGCCTCTTTGCCTGTGCCATCCCTTTGAGGGATATTAAGAAACTTCCTCCTCTCCTTCAGTTTTGCTTCACTAGAGACCATCTCTTCTGGCCCGTGCGGCTCTTCAGTTCAACCAACATTTATTATGTTTGTTATATGTCAAGCTTTGTGCAAGAGACCTTCACATGCATTATTTCTGCCCTAGAATTTTTTTTAATTCTAAGTATCCAGTTGTTTCAGTGGGTTCTGATAAATCTCCAACAGAACTAGCAGGGTTTGGTATATATCTGTGGCTTACATTTTTTAGTAACACTGCAAAAACTTCCAAACATGGAACACCTTGCTATGTACTAGGTAGTAGTGGTGACTCTCTCAGGCCCTCCAATCTACACAGAGCAAGCAGCTCGGTTAGTAACTGTATTCACTGCATAGGACATTCAGCTCCTCAGTATTCTCCTTACTGAGCTGATGCCCAAAGAGACTAGGGATAACTGGAGTCTTATACAAAAACAAATGAATTTAAAAGCACTTAAATACATCCTGACTGTCCCTTGCACTGCCCACCAAACAAAACCACTAGCCTGGCCTCCTCTCCAGATTTATGTGAGAATTGTTATCCCCTGGTTTGTTTGATCCTCCTGAGCCCCCAGCTGGATCTGTAATCCCACATCCAAATTATTGTATCTCCTTTGGTGCAGTGCGCCTAAGAGGGCAGTGACAGGCACAGGAGCTGTGCTCCTTTCCAGGCGTGGCAGGGTGAGGCACAGCCACAGGATACCACAGAAACTTTGCAGATTGTCATTCTGCTCATCACTCCTAGCTGTGGTGTCATGAGGATGGGAATCAAAAGCTAATATCGCCCTGAGCAACAGCTGAAACCCATATATTTGGGGGATAAAATTATTAGTTTAACCTAATAAATATGAAAATTGGGAGCTCTGTTTAAGTGTCTGTTGTCTGTGTTCTTTTCATAGGAAAGAAATTCTTAATTCAGTGGAAAACTCCAACCTATAGGTCTTTAAGTGGTAGCTTGGGAAAGGGCACCACGGAAGATCCTTTAATTAACCTGTAGATGTGCAGTGAAGGGTTTAAACGAGAAGAGAGGGACACCTTAATTCTTAGATAAAGCACCTACGAAACAGCGTAGAGGTGAGCATAATTGACATCAGCCCCAGAAAAGAGATCAAGTGTCCTCTAAATTCCACGTGGTAAAGGTGTATCTTGGGGTTTATGTCTTGGTTGTGTGACCACAGCTTATTTTCATTTTTGAATTAAATGAAATATTTGTTTTCCTGATTAATGCACACAAACAAGACACTTTGTGGGTTACGGGAAGGAATAAAAAAGAAAAGAGAGCTCAGTCATAAACTCATTACCCTACAGAGCCCCTGGGCTTGATGTGGAATATTTGATCAGTGTTTTCATTTGGAGTCAGAATGAGGACATTGAGGGGAAGGCATCTGAGTGGATCGGAGGGACTTCCTGTCACCTTCTGGGTATGGAAAGCCAAGCTCCAGGGCACGAAAAGGATCTAGTCAGCTTGGCACTTCAAGAAAGCAGGCATACATGCATCTAAGTCTCATATTTGCCCCACAGACATGCACACCCATGCCCCATAATATGAGGCAAAGAGAGAATTCAGTCTGGGCTGGACTTGGTAAAGTCCTACATTACAATCTGTAGAAAGGCACCATGGAAGGTGGCAGAGAGGAATATTAACAACATTCATCCCAGAGAAGGACCATCTTAGGTCAAATCCTAGATCTGACAACCCAACAACAAAAATAAAAATGAGAAAACACTTAAGCAAGACACAAAGACAGATTTCCAGTTCACCAATGGCAAACAGTAGGACAAATGAGGATGAAAAGTCTAATAGTGAACCAACAGGACACCCTGGACCCATAGCACAGGAGGTAACAAAACAGATCTATCAGGCTCTAGAAAAATTCAAATCAGAAATAATTTCCCAGTTAACCAGAGAGATGATGAGCAAAATGGAAGTCATGATTCAAATCCTAGATCTGCCACCTAAGAGCTATGGGACACTGGGTGAGTTACCTCATGTCTCTGTGGCCTAATTTCTTCATCTGTTAAATCATAGAGATAAGAGTCCAAACCATACAGGCTATCATGAGAATTAAATTAGATAATAGATATATTGTCTTAGGACAATGCCTGGCAAATGTCACCAAAGGGTAAATATTAAGTTATTTCCTGTTATACATACAACATTTTGATCCCTTAAGCATATTTTCAAAATGTCTTCTGCTGACTTGAAGGAAGAAGGCTGGAGGCATGGTTAAATGCAGAAGTAGAAAGCTTGGTTCAAATTCTGATCTAGCCACTCACTAGCTTGCAAGTCTCTGACTTCCATGCACCTTGGTCTCGTTAGGTATAAACAACACCGCAGAGAAATGCTTTGTGTATGGAACAGACATGAGAGTTTACTACTGCTGTCAGTTTCTGAATATAAGTGGAAGAGGGAGAAGAGAGGGAAAACTGTGCAGGCAAAACATACAGGAAAATGGAACAAGAAGGAACCTGTGTCTTTACTTGTTGCATTGGTTGGTCCAGGAAGACCAGGGATTTGGGTCCCTGGTTCTCCTCATTGCCTTGGTGGTAGGAGGGGTTCTGAAAACCCCTTTGAAAGGGGGAAGGAAGGAGGAGTGTCTTTGACAGCCCCCCCACCCCGCACAGTCCAAGCTCAGCAGAGGCTGCTGGGGAGCCAGATGTCACATAGGGGAGGAGGTGTCAAAGTGCTGCATTGCCTCACCTGTGGTGAAGGTGGTAGAGATAAGGCTGCTCCGCACAGTGTCCTGAGCCGCCTGCAGGAGCACTGCGTAGCCCGTGTTCTCCAGCAGACCTTCCAGCCGGATCCAGGTGTCCTCTGCATCCACGATCAGCTCCTACACAGAGCCAGAGGAAGGGAGGTAGGAGGGAGCAAGCAGCTTGTGACGTGGGAAGGTAGGGAAGGGAAGCCCAAAGTCTGCAGCCAGTTGCAGGATTGCAGTGGCCACTGCTGTCCTCTCCAGCCTACAATAAGGAGAAAGCTGTGCCAGTAAGCAGAAAGGATGGCTCTCCTGTGAGGTTTAGGCCAGCTCATGTTGCACAAATGTACGCTGAGGTAAATTTGGGCACCTGGATTATTGAACCCAATGATTTTTCAGATTGCACTGGGCTTACTTGAGAACAGAAGAAGCCAAGGAAATAGGATCCTAAGCTTCCCTACACCTATCAAAAGGACTAACTCTGCTTTAATTGTTTCTGTATATTTGGAATTTGCATATAATATTTTAAAAGGGTCCCACTGCAAACAAAAATCTGAACTTCAGTGCCCTAGTAGATTTTGTTGACTGATGACATAAAACAAACATTTTCATTCCGACTGTAGCCTTTATACATGTTGCCCTTATAATGCTTGTTGAGGCATAAAATCCTGTCGAATTTGCTTAGCCTGTCAGAAAAATTATTCCAAGACCATGTAGTGGGAGTTTCCAGTGTTTTAGTTCATAACATTGGAATCATCAGCACACCTAGAGATGCTGCAGGAGAAGACTAGAGCCTTGAGAAGACACAAAGACTCAGAGAGGGCTAGTGCTGTGTCTCCACTTTTGTAGAGCCAGGGCCCGTGGCGCCTAGGGCATGGGGTTTGCAGACTAGGGCTCTTTCTACAACAGTAGGTTGTGTATCCAGGATGGGAAACCTAGTTGGTTTCCTATGAACTGTTGCCTTCCACCTCCCTCTGATTGCCATAGGTCATTCCTCTGTCAGGTTCCCCGTGGCCTTGCAAGGGAGAAAGGGGTTGCCCCTTTTCTTACTTTGCGGCTTCCATCTGCAGATTTGTAGGTCAAAATGTAATTCTCAATTTCTGCCCTGGGAGGCTGCCAGGAGATCAGTGCACTCTGTCTGGTGATTTCACTGGCAGTCAGGTTTGCTGGAGGGTCCAGAACTGCAAAGGAGAGAAACACCAGGGTGAGCCTGTCTTTCCAGCCTACTTGATTTCAGATACAGTGGTCTCCTTGTCCACCTTTGTGGTCACAGGGCTGCTCACATACTGACCCCAATTCTGACTTGGGCAGGGACAAAAAGGGCATTCCTGGGTCAGAAGATAATCATTGAGCGTCGTGATCATTATTGCAGCTACTCCTCTACTTCCTTTACCTAGGCCTCTGGGCCTGGGAGTGACATCTTCCAATCTGACCTTCTATTCCTAGGACACTAGCCCTGTTCAACCACACTGACTGGGAATTCATGCTTGAACTTAAAATATTTTACATTTTACCTTTGTCTATTATTTTCCTGCTCATGATCCCACTCACAATCTCTCCCTCCCATATCTAGCTTTTTAGTATCCATCAGAGTTTTCTGGGCCAGGTACAATTTTAGTATTGGGCCCTCTTGGTTCTACCACTGTCACATAGATCCCAGTAAGACTAGGAAGGAGACATGTGCCTCCTGGGAGACAGCTGCAGCTCAGTTTCACTGGATTCGGGCTACAGTTGGCCAAAATAAGAAGAGCTTAATGTTGTGCTGTCCAAAACCTATAAACTCGGATCTGGCTGGTCATTTTTAGGATCCACAAAATCCTCCAGGCATATCAGGCCTGCAGAAGACCATGTACTCACGGGTAGAAAAGTTGGTGCTGATGGTGCCACTGGTGAGAGGTCCACTGGCAGCATACATGGTGACTGTATAGTGGGTGCTGGGAAGCAGGTCCACAAACTGGAACTCCTCGCTGAGTCCATCAACCAGGATGGTTTCTCCAGCAACTGAAGTCAGATGTATATGGTTAAGGATTGGATAAGGCTATGTGACTTAGCAAAGACCTAGCAAATCTAATGGGATTTCACAGACATTGGGTGCTGGAAAATTTTGAAATAACTCTCTTCTAGGTTATGGAGTTTCGCATCTTATACCTACAGCAATCCCCTCTCACTTGTTTTTACACCCTGAGAAAAAATATTTCTTACGTGGGGGCCAAATTTCTTCTCCACTACTCAGGTCTCTAGAGTTACAAACAAGAATCCAAGTATTTGTTCTATATGAGCTTTTCCTTCCTATAGCTCTTCCTAAAAGTGCCGTCTTTTTCATACTGAGAAAATTTCGCCCTCACCTCGCAAAGTTCTAAAATCTGCACAGTCCTGGCTGCTTCTCTCTGAACAACTAATGGGGACACTGGTAAGTGTCCCTGCTGAAATGCAGTAGTTGGAGAAGAGCCGAGAACAATGCTTGGAGGAGAACTGAGATGCACTGTCCTATTTAACAAGTGGTCAGTCTGCTTCTGTTTCTATTGTTGTATTAATCTGCTAAGCTTTAGGGCAATTATTTGTTATTGTTGTCACTCTCTGAGATAAGTACCAATCAAAGAACTTCTTTATTGCCACCCCATCCAATCTTTTGTGTTTGAGTTTTTACACCCATGGGCAGAGATTTGCATTTGCATCTATTGCTTTTTTCCCTTGTTGATTGAGTTGGGCCACTGTTTTAGTTTATTAAAGTAGTTTTGGAATTTGGATTACATTAACACCAGTTTTGTTTTATACACAAATTTACTAAGCATGTCTTCTCTGAGTTCATTCAAGCTGTTGATAAAACTGTTCACTGTATCAGGGCCAACCCTCTTTATTAGGCAATTAGAATATTTCAGAATCATTCAGCATTTAATCAGCTTTATTGAGCACATCTTCACCCTAGGTAGGGCCTTAAGTTTCAAGTTACTTGTGGCCTAAACATACAGAAAGGCATACAAACAAGAAAATCCAAACTGACTCTTCCGAAGAACACACATAATGACTACTTTTTTAATACCTCCCTTCATGGTGTCCTGCCATCAGTCACTTCTTCCGCCATACTAAACAATAGCAGTTTGTTATGCTCTCTCACTCCTCTGCAAATTCAGACAGGCTATTCTTTTCCTTGGAATTCTCTTTTCTTACCTCTTTATCTTCTTTGATTTTACCTTCTGTCTTTCTCTCAGTACCTTGCCACCAAGTCATAATGGCCCATCAGAAGTAGTCCACCATGTTCCATGTTTGCTATATCATGATGCTGTACACATTGTTGTAACTACTAACTTCTCCACGTCATCACTAGACATTAATTTCATGAAGAGAAGACCTCATGCTTTGATTCTGAATCTTTATTTCCTCATAGAGCATGAATAGAAAGAATTGAATAGAAGTGGATTCCTGTGATGGAACTGTGTGCTTTGTTCCTATGAGTAGGTGTGTCTTACTGCCTTAGGGCAACCAAGGAAGCTTTGACAGGGAAAAAAATTTAGTGTTGAAACTAAGATTTGAAGGGTGGGTTTTCTAGTACACCTGCAGGGACATAATTTCTTGGTGGACGAAAGGACATGTGCAAATGCTTGAGAAAGTATGGTGAGAGAGAATGGCAGATCATGGCATGCACAGAAGGGTGGAGGGAATTGAGATCAGTTGTGCATGAATACAGAGAGGTTCAGATATATCCACAGTAGTAATATCCTTTCTTTGATGAGAGTCACTCAATCAGCTACAGTTCCAGCTAACTCCAGCCATGACCCACCATGTATTTTCCGTCTTATATTAAGGACTAAATGATGCACAGCTTTTTAATGCCTCACTGAAACACAAATATGCCAGCAGATTTGCCAATAAAAAACAAGAACATATAGTGATTTTGAAGGAACTTACTCCTGGTGAAATTGACTCCATTTGCATTTTCATAGTTTTAATAGTCTGTTTTAGTTTTTACTTTCCCATGCTTTCACAATAATTTTAGTTCTTCGCAATGTACAGAATTGGCTTTTTCTGCCACTTTTTAAAAAGTCAAGACATCTGCCTGCCTTCTGTTTTCTGATGTCTTTGTTCTCTACATTCCTGAATATAACCTGCAACAATTCTGTGATCACATGTTTAATTTAGGGAGGGAAATAATTTTTCTAAGCCTAGAGACTAGGAGTATGCAACACTATTTTGCTTTGAGCTTTTCTATTCAACTTCAAATAATACAAGGTGAACAAGCATGATGTAATTGACACTGAAATTCAAGATTTCGTGTTGGTTCAGCCTTCTGGGCTGGAATGGTTAGAGTACAGACCAAGACCACCAAAGAGTTTAGCAGCTCTGAATTCTTTGTCATGTTTTATCACTTATTATCTGCTCCAGGCTTCGCCCTATAAGTTCCATGTTTTTCTTGCTCCATATACAGCCAAAATTTTTTTTTTACTTTCTTGTCTGTAGTACTTTAGGGCAAATATTTTCTCAATTATGAGTTCTAGTGTTAATTCTCTGTATATTTTGTATTTTTCCTTGGTTACATGTCTTTTTCACACCTTTCAGATTTAGCTTTTGCAATTCCTATCATTGATAGTTTGCAGAGTTTGAGAATATCTTCAGGGATTTATAATATTACTGAAGCAGGAAAGCAGGGAAATTTCCAATTTGTCCCCAAGATTGACAAAATACCTTTTTAAATTTTTTTGCACCACTGGAGATTGAACATAGGACCTTCACACTGAACTACATCCCCATCCCTTTCTTGAATTTTAAAGTTTGAGACAGAATCTAGCTAAGTTGCCCAAGCTGGGCTCGAACTTGTGATCTTTCTACCTTAGCCTCCCAGAGTGCTGGGAGTACAGGAGTGCTCCACCATGCCCAGCTCGACAACATGTTTGGTTTCTCTACTTTCCTACAGGTCTTCAGGCCTGGTCCCCACCATCTCCGCCTGGCTGGCATAGGCCTGAGATGCTCACCTTTGAAGTGTGTGAGAACAATGACATAGTTCTCCACTTCACCCACAGGTGCCTTCCACTGCAGCAGGGCTTGTGTTGGGGTGATGTTGGTAGCAGTCAGATCCACAGGGTTATCCATGGCTGAAACAGAATGGGAGGGTATCAGTTAAGGGTAGGAGGAACTGCAGGGTGGATGTGCACTAAACTACCAGAAATTCCACTCGTGATGCTTAACTACTATTGTGCTGTACAAACAGTGGAGTAGAGACCTCTTCTCTTTCTCCCCCCTGGTTCCATCAGCCTCTTCATCTGCCATTCCTCCTTTCTCTTAAGTATCCAGGTCTCCCTCAGTTGCCCCCAGAGCCTCCTTCATTAATTGCTTACCTGCAGGGTACTATGTAGAAGGTGCTATGGGGGAGGATTTCAAAGTAGTCTTTGTGTTTTGGACATTCAATTATAGAAAGAAAGCCTAAGAACGTGTAAAAATTGCTTTAATTCTTTAATTCATGAGTTAACCATGCTTCCCAGTCTATTTGCACTTTCATAAATGTAGAGTGTGCCTTGTAGAAAGATCTCCATTGAGGAACTTCAGGAAGTGGGGTGGTCTCCGCAGGGCTGAGAACTCAGAAGGTATTCAGGGAGGACTTGTGGAATGGCTGTATGGAATGCAGGTTGCCTCCAAGGTCATATACAATCATTGAATTCTTGCTTCACTACACACAAGACTCACTCTGGGAGAGTTCATGGTATCCTTTTCGTTGCGTTTAGAGTCCAGGGGATTCTTACAGGCTTGGGAAGGTCAACAATGCTTGTTGGGGGAACAGAATTTCCTTGTCATGGGACCATCTCCCTATTCTTACTTGCCTATGCTATACACCTTTGCTTTATTACTGTGCTTCTCTTCCACAAATCCCATAAAGTTGGAATTTTTTTAAGAATGCATGTTATTACCATCGTTTAGGTATTTAAAGTGTGCTATTGATCTGTTCCCGTTCTCTAATTGAAGGGTTTGTTGTTGTTTTTGCTTGCCCATGTCCATCACACAGCAACTACTAGAAACTGTTTTTATAATTTCAGAGTTTGAATTTTATCTTATCCATACCCTGTGTTTTCAGGGTTTTTGAAATGGAGCCTTTATTAAACTATAGTTGGCTTGATTTCTCAGAGACAAGCTTGATATCCTGAAGGAACACTCATTTCTAAAAATTGTGAGATCAGAGTCTTTGAGTTAAAACAACAACAAACAAAGATTCTTCTGAGGACAATCTGGTTATTGGAAGTTGTCAAAATAACTGCTTGAACTTGAAGGAGGGCAATTTGGCGTGGTGCAGCACTGAACATCTGCTTTAGAAATTTTTGCGGCTTAAGGCCAAGAATCTGAGAAACAAGGTGTTGACTTGAGATGATGCTCTTTTTTTTTACCTTGGGTGTAGGAGGCTTTTAAAAATCCCTTTTATTGTCTTCAGTGAGAAAAAGTCCAGTTTCTTTAATGTAATTTTTTAGGATTTTTCAGAAAGGTGGGAAGGAGGCTTCTTCTGGCTCATTGGATATATTTTCTGGCCAACATTTATTGACCAGATATATTAATGATCATAAATAATTTGAGGGTGAGGACAAGGTTGAATTAAAAAACGTGGCTGAGTTATTTGTAGTCTACCTGGAAGGAAACTAGGGAAGATTAGAATATTCTGTGCTGTCTCCAGAGAAATAATATTTTATATGTTCCTGAAAGTTTTTTGTCCATTCTAAAAACAAACAAACAAACAAAACATGCTGATTCTATGTTTGTGAGAACATCTATAAAAGCAGTGAGGAATCCCGAGGCGTATTTGGGAAATACTATTCTCCGGGGAAATAAGCAGCCTCAGGCAATCCAGGTGTTCTCTTAATGAAGCAAGCTGGATGTTTGCTATTTGCTATGAGGATGATGGCTTAACTAGTAGGTTTGGTCTAGAGATTGAGGAAAGAAAATTTGGTTGTGCCTTCTAGTGACATCAGTAGTTAATCTTTGCCAGTTCTACACTGTGCAGTGACTGACAGGCCAGAGAAGAAGGAGCAGCATAGCCACTCAAGGAGTCCTGGCTGCAGGCTCATCCGAGGGGCTTATTTTCCAGAGGAAGACATGTTACTGGGACTTCTACCTCACTTTCCCATACTGCATGATGGTCATGTCACCCCCTTTCACTCTCTTCTGATTGAGAATGCAGAGGATACCTGGATCTGATCACAGGGCTGGGAGGACATGGACTACACGCTGTCCCTCCAGATTGGCTGAGGCAGCTGTATGGAGCAGCACGCCTGCACTACCTTTATCGCAGGTGAGAGAGTTATGACCTCTGATGCTTTCTTCCTCTCTGAAGCACAGAGCAAGAGCAAGTGCACCTACTTGGTGGGTTCTGGCAAGCTCACGATGCCGATTTTCAGGTTACTTAAATAATAACTCATTTTCTTTGAGGTGCACTTTCCTCCTCTGAGTCTTCTGAAAAATAAGACAAACTATTCTCATCTGCTCTGGAATGCACTTCAGTCATGTGCCTTTGGAAGGGCACTATTCATGTTAGAAGTTCCATGTAAATTCCCACTGTAAACCATTAAGACTCCTCTAATGGATGACTCGCCAAGATCCTTTTATTACACAGGATGATCAGTAGAGAAAGAAATTATAAATTGTCCTGCATGATAAGTGCATTGGAGGAGTCCTGGGAATGGACCCACAAACCTTGATCCCGGAACCAGTGTCCTGTGTATGAGCCAAAAGAACTTCACTCCTTGCCTCTTCTGTTTGTGGCAGGGCCTCAGCTGCTGTTGTGATTTGACACACAATAGGGAGATATGTTTACCTGTGTGCATGAGAGTGCAGATGCGTTCACTCTCCTCCCTGCCCCGCACACTGTTGAGGCTGATTTCGTATTCAGTAGCTGGGTACAGCCTGCTGATAGTGAATTCTGTCACAGTGTTGGGCACCACTGAGCTGTCCAGCCGTCCCACTAAGAAAAAGCAGAATCCGTAGTCAGTGTCTGCGGCTTCCTCATCAACACGGTGCATAGCACAGTCTACGCGGGGACATTGTATCATGAAGCACAGATGGGTGTGAGACCCAAAGCTCAGCAGGAAGAATTAGCTGTTCTAGAGCAGCTCACAGACCAACTGGGGCCATAGAGGCAGTCACTGTAGCTTGAATATTTTTCTTTCACAGGCTGGGCCTGCTGGAGTTTGAAGAGACCTTGCATGCTGGTCCCACCCTTCATTTTATGAGCTTGTGGAGCAGAGAGAAATGAAATATTTATTAAGTGGTTTTCTAACAATTTAGTCTCTGAGGCAATTATGCTTATGTAGTATAGAGAACACATCTGCAAAGGGGGGACATATGCAGCCCAGAGACAGGATACTGTGGGAAGCTGTTCTACCCTGCCTGGAATTAAGCCTGCCTTCTACTTTGTCAGCAATGCCACAAGCACCAGCAAGAACTGGCAGGATTCAGGCAAGGTCTGCGCCAACTTCCTCTGACTCATTACTTGGCTGGAAAGGCAGAAACGGGACCATGTCACTACGTTTCCCTCCAAGACTCCATCTGGACCTGCAGGGCCTTTAGCTCTGTTGAGTTTGAGTCTTGGACTTTCTCAGTAAAATGGCCTGGATCTTTGAAAATTCTTTTAGGGCTCTTTGTTTCTCACTGTATGACCTCAATAATGGTGACCGCTACCTCTGCTAGTGAAAGGCCCACTTTCAGGGGGAATGTAGTCCAGCCCATTTTGAGAGATTTTGGTAAGTCTGTCCTTCATGAGACACTCTCATTTTGAGGGATCATGCCACAGATAGGAGGAAAAATGCATTCAGGAGCTGATGTCCTGTGGGCTATGGTAGTTTTCCCATAATAATCTGCACCAAGCTCCAAGTCCCATTTATTTTTGAGAACTTAAATCATGTTATTACCTTGGGTGGGTCGATATGATACTCGGTAGTAATCGAAAGATGCAACAGGAGGGCTCCAGGAGACTATCACTGAGTCCTTGGTCACATTGCTAATTGTGATGTCTCTGGGGGGATCAATCCCTACAAAGATTCAGGTGGTTGTGAGAAAAAAGAAAGAAAGAAAGCACAGTGTGAAAAAGGAATTTCTATCCTTAGTTCTATGTTGAGCAAGAGTCGATAGTATCCCAGAGGCTGACAAGACGCCACTATGTAATTGATCATCCTTAAAACATCGTCAGTGTTATGTCTCCCATGAAACTCGTGGACATGGCTAAAGCCAGATTTATGGAGAACATTTTAGCAACAGAAAGCTAAAATGGCAAGGACTGTGTCTGTGCAGCACATATTACCTATCTGAAGGCCAGCTAGGAACTTCATTATAAGTGCCATGTTTTGTTTTGAATTGGGAATAACAGTTATTTTCTCTGGGGGAAACTTCTTTTGAAAAAAAAACCAACTCTGCTGCTATCTCTTATTTTTTAGCAGCCACTTTGGTTCAATTTGGAAAAACTGTCTATTGACTGTAGTGGGATTTCAGAGCACAAGTCCAGAACAAATCCACTTTCCCAAATTGTGTTTCATTTAGACTGTATACTTGTTTCTTTTACTGACTGCTAGGGAATTACAGGGTTGAGTTATATGAGAGTTTAATCCACTAGTTCAGTTTGTGAGTTAATGTCAGCATGTAGGAGTACCTAAATAATATGTCCTTATCATATATTCCTCATATTTAGGATTGTATTTGGCAATGATGAAATAAAAATAACCCAATTCATCTTGGAGTTCTCTCTGAGATTTGTACATTATGTTTTACAAACAGTGAACAAAACAACCCCACTTTCTGAGTGCAAAGTCACTATCTAGTTGCATGCTAGTTCTGTGTCATTTTGAGGAAGCATCATTTGCGCTAGTGACCTTGTTGGGCAGTCAAGTGATATCTCTCCAGAGTGGAAACAGATGCCTCTTCACTGTAGAAGGATTCGTCTTGGAGACTAGCTTTATTCAGGGCTTTCTTTTAGGCTGGTAGATTTCTGGACCAATGCATTCCAGCTTTAACCTCCTCAAGACATTGGATCTGTCCTACCTTGGAGCTTCCCATCTTATGCAGCACTGGAAGAATGAGCTGTTCTAGAGCAGCTCACAGACCAACTGAGACCTTAGAGGCAGTCCCTGTAGCTTGAGTATTTTTCTTTCTACAATTTCACTGACTTGACAAAGGCTATTGTGAGAACCCTTTTTATCAACTGCTGTCAAGTTTTCCAGACTTACCTGTGGTGATGGAGCCCATGATGGGCTCAGAGGTCACCGTGCCGTGGACAGCCACCAGGTTGACGATATACTCAGTGGCTGGCTGTAAACCCATCAGGACAAAATGCCTCTTGGTGGCATCCAAGGAGACCTCCATCATTTCTTCTTCTTCATCCTGGGGACTGTAGTTCAGAATGAGTCTGTCTGCTGGGGGAGATGGGTCACTCCAGGTAATGTTGACACTAGAGGACGTCACATGAGAAAAGTGCAAATGGGAGATAGGGCGGAAGCCTGAAAAATATAGAAGGTGGATGGTTCTGAAACATGGGTGATGTGGCAGGCAACTGAGCTAAAAAGCCACTTGAGGAAATGGACCTGGTCTCCTTGCTGATAAGAGCTACATCTTCACTCACTGGCCCAGAGGTTCTACATCCATACACTCCAGTCCTGTCTATTCTATTTTTCCCAAGCCATATTCTAAAAAATCAATTCCGATACAACCAGAAATGCCTCTGTGAGTTATTCATAACACAGATTCAGATTTAAAATCTCTGTTCTGGAAGGAATTTAATATGATTCCACAGATCCTTAGATTGCCTATTGAGTTAGTGCAGGAAGAGAAAGACGGACAGAATCAACGATTGTGTCCAGGATTTAGGATACCAGACATACATTTTTCAGGCATGTAGCATTTTGCTCACCTCTCCCCTTTACTTCCAACCATTTCCACTTGATTCCCATATGTATTTAGTTTTCCTTCTATCTCTTCTTTTTCTACCCATCTTTTTGTCCATTCTCTAAAAGAAATGGAACTTTAGAAGAACAGATTGCCTGGATGACCTTCTTACATGAAGAACCAGTGATCCTTGAACATGGCTAAGATTTCTAGCATTCTAGTACCTGTGAAGGCATCCACAGTGGACTCCAAGCTCTGTTGCCGACCCCTCTCAGCGGTGATAGAAATGATGTACTCTGCCCCAGGTTCTAAATCTGTCAGTGTATATGAGGTCCTGTCCTTGGGCACAGTGACTTCCGAGGCAATCCCAGAGGATGGTGTAAAGGTAATCCGGTAGTGGTCAATGGGGCCACTGGCCTTGGTCCAGATGAGAGAGATCGAGGTCTCTGAGGATGCTGTCACCATGAGGTCTCGGGGGCTGTCAAGTTCTGTGGATCAACATAAGTGGCTTATTTTACACAGGTTCCTCAGGATGATCAGTATTTATGTATTTCCAAGCTACCAACAAGACTGCTGACCACGAATTCTAGCTTGTCATTATTGACACTCATCTCACATTTTGTTAAGCAGTTTCCCTTTGAAAGATGACCACTGGCTCAGCAAACATTATTATTAGGGCTGACACAATTGAAATGCATCTACCTCTGGGACAAAGCTAGCCATGGGTTTTCAGACTATCCATATTCATTTTTACTCAGTCTTTCTCAGTAAATCAATCAGAACAAAACTGAAGCCACCACCAATAAGGAACATGACATTCCTGGCAACAGAAGTTTTCCTTCTGTTTCGTTCCCTGAAGTCATTTTGACTTGGTCTAACCATGAGTATACAGATGACTTGATCAGAGGACTTCTGGAGACTCCTGTCCATGTGCTTCTCTAGTAAGACTGTCTGTGATAGACTGAACCTTGGGGACGGGGATGGAGCCATCGACCCAGCCCAACTCAGCCCAGGCTTCTTCTGTCTAAGCTACTGGAATGACTTTGAAATTTACCTAGGATTTAGAAACAAAACTTTTGGCTTTAGAGCAGCAGGGTTTCAAATGGACTTTTTAAAAATTTTTAACTTCTCTTGGCTTTAATAGATTACTTCCTCCATTGGCTTCTGTGAGGGCTGAGGACACTCACCCCATTCTGCCTGCTGTTATGTGCTTTAAGTAGAAATATAACCTGCTGTATCACCAGCCATTGGAGATTTTCCACCTCTGCCCTGCACAGCTCTGGGCAGGTCTTCTTCATATTGGGAGAACCAAGCGCAGATCTGTGGGAAGATATTGGGATTCCATCCCACATGTCTGACATGAGAGGTTGGTTATTCATAGGTGAGTGTTGTCACTAGACTGATAGTTGTCACCAGGGCCCTGCTCACTGAGGGGCATGGATTTAGCAGATCAGAGGTTCAGCAGATCAGATTCCTAGGGCTCTTCAGCTTTCGGGCTTGCCATTCCTCCCTGTCCTCTTACTCACCAGTCCTGGCATTCATGGTGGCTGGCACACTCTGCTGTGAGTTCATGATGGCAGATATTCCAACTCCATACTCAGTGCCAGGTACCAGATCTATCAGTAGATGCAGAAACAAACATTATTCTCTGTGTGTGTTGCGGGTAGGGAAGGCTGAAAGGGAAGAAAATAATCTTAGACTTCTTTTCAGGTCTTATGTTTAGTCTTCCCTGAGTCTGCTTCTAATTTCATCTATTAGAAATTCCCATTTTCCCACTTAGGAAATCCATAACAAATCAATAAGATGACCTTGCCCATGCCCAATTCCTTTTTGCTGCAGGTCTCAGAAAGGTAGTGACCTTCAGGAGTTTGGATACCTGTGTGCTTAGAGTCTTGGGTTGGGTAGAACTTTCTTGAATTGTGAGTTGAAGGAACATGGAATTGAGAGCTACCTACCGTGTGGACATGAGTCTTTAGAGCATTTCTTGAATATTGTATATGAGGATCACAGTTCAGTTTTATAGATAGGAATTGAAGCCATGTATAACTCCGGTGTCTCTTCTAGTGAGCAATGTGGATGGACTTTTCCTTTACATAGGGCCATCTGGCCTTTAATGTAATAGCATAGTGGCCCTACTAAGCTCAGCAATTTAGATCTAGAACTATGGCTCCCATCTTAGGATGACTTCTGATGGACTCCAGGAAGGTGAAAGAAATAGAAAAACTGTCCAACTAGAGGGGCAAGCATCTGAGGAAATCCCTTAGGGGTTCATTAGAAAGAATTGCTGACAGGCTTTCAGAATGTCTGGAATTCTCTGGGGTCTCTCCTTGCCCTCTTCCACATTTATTTTCAGACCAATCCTTTGACTTCTATTGGTTTCCTATTGCTGCTGTGATGAATAACCATAATTTAGTGGCTTACAACAGTGCTATTTTATGATCTTATAGTCCAGGAAGTTTGAAGTCTAAATGGTTCAGCAGGGCTGCCCACCCTCTGGGTCCCTCAAACAGAATTTGTTTCTTTACCCTTTTCAGCTTCTTGAAGCTGCCTACAGTCCTTGGCTAATGGCTGCTCAATCTATCCTCAAAGTCAGAGACTTAGCATTATCAAATCTGTTTCTCTCTGATGGTGGCTGCCACTGTCACATCTACTCTGATCTCCATGCATCCAGCTTACAAGGACCCTTATGATTGCATTAAGCTCATTAGCATAGTACAAGATGATTTTCCCCATCTCAAGATCTTTAATTTCATCACATTTGCAAAGTCTCTCTTGCCATGTAAAGTGACACAAGTTCTAGGAATTAGAATGTGGACATCTTTGGGGACTGTTATTCCATTTACAATAACTTGTGTCAAACTTATCTTCATTTTTAAACCTGGGACTGAGGAAAATGCAACAAAAATCAAATTATCATCCTCGCGGGCCCCCAACAATAGTCAGATGACTCCTGGTAAGTTTTCTGTGAGATCTTGCATGGGCTCCCCAGGGCAAAGGGTTATGATAATTATCCTGCATTTATGTGCTTTTTAAAATTGAATGTGTTCTGGAGCCTCACTACGACCTTGGGATAAGAAGCAGTTTTTGGGATCTGTGTTGTTTCCTGTGGCTATTATAAGTTGCTGTAAACGGATGGCTTAAAACAAAAAAAAATGTACAAAAAAAAAAAATAAGTAAACTCAGAGTCAGCAGTGTCATGCTCCCCCTGAAGGTTCAAGGGAGAATCCTTCCTTGCCTCTTCCTGGCTTCTGGTGGTTGCCAGCAATGCTCAGCTGTGACCTATGGCCACATTTCTGTGACCTTGGTCCTTCTGTGTCTGTGTCCTCTCATCTGATCAGGAAGCCAGTCATTGGGTTTAGGGGTCACCGTAATCCAGTATGAACTCATCTTAGGTTGAATACTTCTCCCAAGAACTGCTTTCTGAATAAGGTCATAACTGCAGGTTCCAACAAGACATGAATTTTGGGGAGAACACTGTGCAACTCAGCATGCCATCTTTTTATAAAGAAAAAAATGAGACATAGAGATGATTCTCAAACTTCTGGCCTCAGGGTTCAGGGTTTTTAGCAGGATTGGGAAGGCCTTGCTTAGCCACCAGCCTTACCTGGTCTCTAAAGCAACTAGGACTTCCCTGGGATTCCAGAGGTAATAGAATGATTTTAATAGGACTTGCTTCGAGTGGCCTTCCCGTAACAAATAGCATATGGCTCAGTTTAGCCAAGGGGATAAATGCTGCATGGGATAGCCATGGGATAGCCAGGGGACCCCTGTTTAGTACAGCCCACACAATAAGTATCTGTATACCCTGATCTTACTGGCCAGGCTCCCCTGAGGCAATGCAGTCCCAAGCCCTGTCTGGGCGGGCATGACTTTTCCTTCCCAAACCAGTTTTGCCCCTTTCCTATTTCTTAGTTCTTTTTCAAGCTAGTGTTAACATGAGCGGAAGTGTGAATTCTGACAGACTTTGAAGTCTGGCACACTACTTTTTCTAGTCAGGCTCTGCCACCTTCCACATGTGTGACTTTGATGGCTTAACATCTTTGGGTCTCAGTTTCTGTAGAATGGGAATAATAATAGTTTCTCAGAAAGTCATTGTGAGGATTAACAGTGTCAATGTGCTTGAAAGGACTGCTCTTGGCCCATAGTGACAGTACCCAGGATTATTATCATCCAGAACTGAGAGTCATTCCAGGATTTTGAGTTCTATTATGTAAGAAGCCTTATCAGCAGTAAAAAGTGTCCCAGTCATGTACAGGTTGGTTCCAGGCACACCGATAGTTGCTGGTCTGCTGGTGATTGGCCTGCTGACTCTGGAGGAAGCCGGGATGTCCAGGTATCAGTGAGCAGCTTGCCCTGGCTGGGGCAGGTGCCTGCCTCTATTGAGTAGGCAATGTCAATGCCTCCCGATCTGTTCCAAACACATATTTATCTCCGGCAATACCTTCAGTGAGTTCCAGGTACATCCTCAGTTGGAGAAATTAGATTACTTTTGGAACAGAAACTACTTTTTGCAGGCAGCTTATTGAGACCTTCAATTGCCTATAATGAAGTAGAAATTCTCCAATGTAGATGAAGGGTGACATATCGGGGGAGTAAGACAGAAATTATACGTTGCCAAACGGATCTAACATGTTAACGTTTTCATCCGAGTTTCTTATTTATGAAGCTTAAATGAAATGCTCAATAATTTACAACAGAATCATCTTCTCCCAGAAAATGGCAGAGCTGAATTTAAAGCATTTTCTTCCTAGGTTTTCTGTCTAGGGGATGGGGAGGTGGGACTGGCTCTCGGGTTTGTGCCTGCTGCTTTCTTTGATTTTTAGCAGCTTTCTTCCTGTGCTATGAGAGAATTGTTACTCTTTGCCAGCAGGTAAAATGAAGTTCTGCTGGAAAAGAAAATGTACATCGAACACATACTTGATGCACTTCTCTGTTTGTTGCTTCTAGGGAATTCCTACTTTTAAAGAACCCACGGCTCTCTATCAATGCTCCTTTTACCTTTCCATCCAACTCCTGCCAGTGGTAGCCTACAAATGGCTTTGTTCTCTTTCCTAACAAAAGCTCAGAAAAGTTGTCCCAGAGGAAACCACCATCCTCCATCCTTCATAGAACTTCCTTTGTTAGGTTAGAGGTTGACAATTTTCAACTCTCACCACATATCTATTCTTCTCTGAACACCCAAAGTACACAGTTCATCCATTTCTCAAGTGCTATTGAGGGCTTCCTTTGTGTCAGGCACAAGGTTGTGTGCAGGGGATACCAGGTGAGCTGGACAGACATCACCCCTACCCCTTTGGGGAATCAAAAAATCTGCACTGAAAACTAATTAACTACTTAATATGCATCCATAATTATGCCAAGCTCCACGCAATCCATAATCGAGGAGAATAAAGAAGAAAAAAGAGCAGGAAGAAAGAAGGATGGAATGAAGGAGAATTTTTGTGTGTTTGATGATAAAGATATGTTTACAACCATATTTTCTTAGAGATTCATATAATATTTCATTTAATTCCCCTTAGCTCTGCTGTGTGGATAGTGCCCATGAGCAAGGTCACAAATCTAATACAAACTAAAGCAATGTTTTAGAACCCAATTCCCCTGTTCCCTCTGGTTCTTTTCGCTAAGAGTCTTACACATTGGCAGTGGGGACTGGAGCAAGCAAATAGCAACTTGAGCAACTTAATTCAACTCTACCGGCTGCTAACTGGAGCTCTCCAGAGGAGGATGAGACAAGCATGGGCTGGAGTAGCCAGAGAAGGGTCTTCAGTTGGGCCTTGAAACCTGGCTAAGATCAGGCCAGATTCAGGGACGGAAATAAGGAATTCTCTGTGGTCAGAGTGGGGCATGGTACGCAGCAGTAAGTTAGGGCAAGAGAGCAAAGAGAGCAATCGAGTGAGAAAATTCTCACCTGAACTGCAAGAATTATGGTGATAAAGGCAGAATGCCTCACATTCCCGGTACTTAGAAAACCCATTCCTTATTCTTGCTGCTGCTGGTGGGAAAATTGATGGGGAGAAGGGGACCCCAAAACCCTCATTGCTCTCTCTTTCCAGCAAAAACCTGATTAAGGCACTCGGGGGCTGCAGGCTTGGTTGGGTTCAGATGGACTTGTAGAAATATGGATCCTTTCCATCCCTCAATACTTGATCTCATCTCTCAGGTGCCTGTGAAGCTCAAGTTCACCAAAGTAGGGATGGAGATTTTGTTAACCCTCCTGGCTTTCATAGAGAGAATCCCATTCCTAAGGAGTTTAATCGATCTTTTAGTTTTGATGGCAATTATGCTTTGTATGTTACTGTTAGATTTCATGTCAGTCCCCTCATCAGCTTCTTAAGTTTTTGGGCCCAAGGATCTAATTTCTTTGAGTGTAGCATAGTGACAACATGCCTGAGGCACAGAAGCAGCACGGTCACAATGGTGGTGGTAGAGAGTGATGGAAGACTTCCTAAAGAGGACGTCTGTGTTTGGTGTTTGAAGCCTCTGTGGATATTTGGCTGGGGGAAGGGCATCCCAGGCAGAGTGAACAGCACATGCCAAGGCAGATCTGGGAAAATTATTTGTGAAAACAAAGACCTAACGTAGGGCTGGGCCACAGGGAAGTTTCCTAGTGGTAGAG